CCCCAAAACCCCAAAACCCCAAAACCCCTTTCTGGGAAAATAAAATTGATAAAATTTACAAAGAAGATGGAGAAGGTTCCGCAAGCACATAATTTGGTCAAGAAGTTCTCTATAATGTGTAACATCCTACCTTACTTTGGTTACCTAGACCAGAACTACAAGTTGATGTCTCAGCTCTGTATTGGAAGCTACACCTGCTGGAAGTATAACCATAAAGGCTTCTGTCTTAAAGCTTGTACTTGCAAGAGAAGGGAGCTGAAATTTTGCTTTATATATGGAGGATCTGGAAGAGTTCACTCTGCCAAAGAGGTGATACAGTTAGTGAAGAAGTACCCTATCCTGTATAAAATATTTGATCTACCCGTGCTAATGGTTACATCTCAGAAAGAAGCTAATTGCTTCCTCAAGTTTTTGAAAGAAGCTGATCTTGAATATTTGAGATTTACCTCAATCCTTTTTCAACATATAAAGCATGAAGCTAAATTTTGGAAAAGTATGAGATCAATTCTAGAGGTTTCTGAGCAAAATTCCGAACAATTTGGAACTAGTTTAGAGCTTAATGATTCTGTAGATTTATTGGATAAGAGAGACTTTAGAAATAAGTCACTCTTCAATAGTAGCCCTTACTTCTAGAGTCTCAGACAGTGATCTTGACCAAATTGATCCTAAACTAAAGTCTCATGTTACCTCATTAATCATTAATAAGTTTGAGAAAGATCTGTATGATACTAATGTTATTCTTAGAGGAGTAAAGTTATTAGTCGATTGGTTTGACAACATAAAGAACTTAAAGCTCAATTTTACTTATACCGACCCTTGTCGTGATAATTATATCTTGCTAAACTTCCATGATCGTGTAACTGAGAGCATTGAAGTTAATATTACAAAGAAATTAGCCACAAGGGAAGTTATTGAGGCTAAGGACTGTTACTTCAGAAGCTGTTTCTACAACCACACAACAGGGTATAATGATCGAAGGTTCTTTGTCGCACGAAAAGTTTTGATTAAATCTCCTATAAATATTTTAAACAAAAATAGGAAAGAAAATTGGCAGCCATTAATAGAGTGTTCTGTGCTAAGACTTGAAGGGATTCGGGAGACTGATGCCTTAGAAGATCATATCTGTGCTCAGAGATACTGCGGATTTTATTCTAATGATTATTTGGGTCTAAGTAAGACGGATATCACGAAAATATCGAGTAGCTCCATTTTGACAAAGGATGTCTTGCGTCAGTTTCCGAAAGCTAACTTCACTTTAATTCTATCTAATAGTAATAAGAGATCAAAAAGAGTAGATAGATGCTGTACAATGGATAATGTGATAATAGATGATTATAAAAACACCACCAACTTAGGTCTAGTATCTCTGTCAGCTGAATCTTCATTTTTTAAGCCAGTGCTGACTAAGTTTATGAAAAAAAATCTCATATCTCTAGAGCTTGCTTTATCTAATAAGGAAACTGCGCAGGAGCTGATTATTTTCCAGACTCTTTGTCAGATGATTAAGAAGAATAACTCACTTCAGGAGATAAAGATTTCCGTACATGATGATACAAGTGTCGTCTCCATTCTTGATTCTTGTGAGTCCAAACCTAGTCTTGGCTCGATCAGGATCGCTTGTAGCCAAAACATATCTAAACAAGTTAAAGCATATGTGAAAGCATATAAGAGGAATAATAGTTTCAAATCTGTCCAGATATTTGTACCCCCTGCTGAGAAGAAGGGCTATTGAGCTATATTCTAGGAATTTTCAGATTTCAATATATAAAAGCTATTAAGGGGTTTTGGGGTTTTGGGGTTTTGGGG